TTAGGTAAATTTGTTATGTAAGTAGGCTATTCTCTGACTCTCCTTTTCTCTCCCATCCAGCATCTTAGCTGTGCTGGCAGTTTATGGCTGAGCCTGGCAGCAGCTGCAGTTTTGAAACTACACCACCGTGCTAGTATGGTGTAGAGCCTGAGATGTGCCATGCTGAGGACACAGTGAGGCAGTGAAGCTCCTCCAGTACAAAGCTTCAAGGAATTAAAGTTGCCATGTCTAGATATCTTGGGTGAAAATGGGCACTTAACTAACTCTCTCTGAACCAGGATATTTTTACTTATCTATGGTCTGTGTCAGAGATAGAGCTATGATCTGAAGAGCAGGCTTGGGAGGGCTGGGAAAGGCTGTCCCTCGTCGCTGAAGAGAAAATACAGCGAGAGGAGGAGATATGCTTCGTAATGAAAACTCTTAACTGCAGCACTAAGGTCTTTATAGAAGAGGGCGACTTTAAAGAATCCACAAAGTCTTTGGTCTTTGAAACAGTGGTGCTTAAAGACCATGTAATTTTAGTAAACCAACCTGTGCTTTTCTCTGAAGACTTAGGATCCTACATGACAGCAGCAGCAGTAAGCTACAACAGACTTCTGGGGAAAAGCTTTTGCCGGGTCCAGTCTAAGCTGGTTGTGTTGAATGTCATGAATAGTTCTAAGTCACTCTGAGATCAGCTCAGTTGGTTAGAGCATGGTAGTGTTAATGCCAAGGTTGTGGATTTGATCCCTGTGCAGGCCATTCCCTCAGGAATGTGGGTGGCCTTCAGAATATTCTGTGGTTCTGTGAAGTTGGTAGGTGTGGGTGACCTGCAGATGGGCTTTCCTAGAGAGACCAGTGTTCCCACAGAATTGTAATATGACTTGTCAACACTGAACATGCATGGCTAATGCAGGAACTCAGAGCGGTGCAATCCTGCATTGGCAACCCAATCAGAAGAGATTCAGACTGATGTTGTAGTCAATATGTCTATATTAACAATAGTTTCCTTTTGCTATCTGTTGAAGATGATTTATGGTTGGGAGTAGAGCTTTTAACTCGTGGAATGTACACCACCTATTTTATCATGGGAAAGGACATGCTACTGCTATTTTGCAGCATAGTTTTTTATGAGTTAGAAGTTAGTTAGTGAGGCAGCTTGCAAATCTAAGCACCAGGCAAGCTTATGGCTATGAGGTTATAAGACAGAAGCTGGATTTCCTTAGGTGCAATTAAAAAAATTACCTGGATATTGTGTACCCTGCCTCAACATCACAGTACTCCAGCATGTCCTGTGATAAAAATATTTGTTCCTTCCATTTGAAAGGTCATGGCTGTTACATCTGTGCAACTCCCTAGATCAAGATCCCTGATCATGGCCTAAAGAGGGAGGACCAAAAAGAGTTAGTTGAAATCCTTGGCAGAAGGCTGAAAGGAAGGTGCTTATCCATCATCTACATGTTTTTGAACCTTTTTCATCCAAAAGCTGGAGACCTTCTAGTGTTTTGAGTGGAAAATGTTCTGAAACTGTTTTCCATAGGATTTTTTATTTGTGAAGCAGGAAAAATTTTGATGACACCCTTATTGAATCTGTTTCCAGTTTAGTTTCCTTTCTGTATCATCTAGTAATCCTGGTGGCCTACTTGGGAATCAAAAATGTCTTTATTCCTGAAAATAGCTATGAGAGCTGTGACCAGAATTTTAAGGGTCCAGGACCCTTGAGTAGCCTGCCAGGGTGACTTATGGAGCTGGTTTGCCCTTCACTTCCACAGCAAGATTTGAAAGTTTGGGGCATATTCTTTCAAGTATGTGATTTTGAAATGCTTAAATGTTATGCTTGCCATACATCTGTTTACTCCCATTTATAAGTCTAAATCAGTTTCTTGCACTTGGTGTCCAGTTTCTGATAGTGACCATTATTAGATGTTGAAAAAGATGCTGCAGTGTATCTTAAAATGGCAATTTTACAAACTTACTTGCTGCCATTGACCTGGAGCATGGAGGCTCTGTGTTTTCTGAAAGACTCAGAAAATGACATTTTGCTTGGAAGTTATATTAAAAACAAATACATCTTGAAGCCTGAACAGCATATAGTAATTTTAAAATACTCCTGAAATTGTCAACAAGATTTCTTCCTCTAAAGCAGAACAGTGTACAATGTTACTTTTATCTTTATTGTGCAATGTTTCTGCTTACAAGGAAAACCTTCTGAAGTTTCCAGGTGTACAAAATGCACTGTTTGGGTAGTGATTTGAAACACAAGCAGTTGCTGCATTTTGCTGCTTTCAGTGGTGGGACTAAAGCTGAATTAATGCAGCATAAGTATTTTTTCTGAATACCCAAGTGAATGGATTAGGTCAGTCTTTTACTCCCTTTGTGTTTCCTCTCTAAAGATTTTAGAGATCTGAGTCTGCTGTAGTTGTCTGAAACAATTTTCTAAGCAAACGTGTAGAACAAAATTTATTATTGGTTGCAGGAATGTGGAGATAGTTTTTTGTTTGTTGGTTTCTTTTTTCCTTCTCATGATGTGAATTTTTGCAAATAAAAGTTACTGCGGGATTTATCTAACCACTTGCTGCTAAGGAGCAGAGTTTCAATGTCTAATGGAGCATTTTAAGCATACAGAGAATTGTTTACAATCAATCAGTAGGGAACATGGCTGGAATAAATTTAAATAGTGAACAGAATTCTGAAAACCATTATATCAAAAAGACTTCAGCAAAATCTATTTATTTAAAATTGCAGTTTCATAAAAACCAAAATGTGTTTACAAAGAAAAAAAAAAAGACAACGCTTAAAAGTGATAAAACTGCAATCAATTTGTGGTCTGGCAGCATGTTTTAGTATCGGCAATTTTACTTTTTTGTGGTGGCTCCTGTGATTTTTTTTCACTGCAATAAAGTTCTATTTTTACTTGTGAGTCTAGGATTCAGCATGTCTGATTGAGGATGGGACCAAAAAGAATGGAGTCTGCATATTCTGTTGTGGACAGGGACTGGTCCAGTAACTATCTGGACATAGAGAATTACAGAGAATTAGATAATCAGTTCTGTCATGTGCTGCTAGAGGATCTGCAGCAGCTGAGCAGGTGTTGCTGTGCTGGAACCTGGGTTTGGTGGTACAAGATACATGGACAGACAGCAGAGACCAACCCTTCTACCCCCTTGCCTTTTATACTGACATCCAGACCATATGGGAAGCAATGCAGAAACATCTTAAAAGGAATGGGTGCTGCAGGGTGTATTAAGGGAGGAAAGAGATACTGTAGGGGAATGGAATGGAGTGGAGTGGAGTGGAATAGAACAGAACATTGCAGTTGGAAGGGAGCTACAAGGATCATTTCATCCAAATGCCTGACTGCTTCAGGGCTGATCAGAAACTAAACCCTGTTACTAAGGGCATTGTCCAAATGCCTCTTAAACACAGATAAGTCTGGCATCTCCCTAGGAAACCTTAATGGGTGTTTGACCTCCCTCTCCATAAGGAAATGCTTCCTAAGATGTAATGTAAACCTCCTCTGGTGAAGCTTTGAACCATTGCCATCTGTCCTGTCACTGGATACCAGAGAGAAAAACCCAGCGAGTAACGATCCCCTCCTCAGGGAGCTGTAGAGCAATGAGGTTGCCCCTAGGTCTCCTTTTCTCCAAACTAGGGAAGCCTCAAGTCCTTAGCTGCTCCTCACAGGTCATGCCTTCAGCCCTCTCACCAGCTTTGTTGCCCTTATCTGGACCCATTGAAGGACCCTCACATCCTTCTTAAATTGTGGTGCCCAGAACTGCCTACAGTGCTCCAGGTGAGGCTGCAGCAGTGCTCTACACAGTGGGATAATCGCCTTTCTTGAGCAGCTGGTGATTCTGTATTTGATGCACCCCAGGATGGGGTTTGTCCTTTGGCTTCCAGGACACGCTGCTGATTCTTGCTGTGCCTGCTGCCAGCCAGCAGCCCCAGATCCATTTGTGCAGAGAAGCTCTCCAGCCACTCCTCTCCCAGTTTATACTTTTGCTTGATGTTAGTCTGTCCCAGCTGCAGAATCTGGTATTTTGATTTGTTAAACTTCATGCCATCAATCACTGTCCAGTGTTCCAGTCTGTGTAGATCCCTCTGCAGAGCCTTTTGTCCTTCTAAGGAGTCAGCAGCACCTCCCAGTTTGGGATCATCAGCAAACGTGCCAATGGTGGTTTCAGCTCCTGCCTGCAGGTTGTTGGTAAATGTATTGACCAGAACTGGCCCTAGAATTGACCCCTGGGGAACACCACTGGTGACCAGTGGCCCCCTTTGAGCTCTGCCCTTCACCCAGCACAGCCTGCTGCCACTCATCCCACAGCTGGACAAATTTAATTGTCCTGAAGGATGCTGTGAGGGACAGTATCACAAGCATTACTCAAATCCAGAAAAATCGTGTTCACAACTTCTCAAATCCACTGGGTGGATGACCTTACCATGAAAGATAACAAGTTAGTTAAATAGCACTTTTCCTTTTGTGAACCCAAGTTTGTCAATATCTGAAAGAGGAATATTTGATTTCTTAAAATGGACCATTCTTTTATACACAGTATTAGACTGATGATAACTAAATTAGAATGTCGTACATTCTAATTTAGAATGTGCATTCTCTAGAATGTACATCACTTGGTTACAAATTTTATTCTTTGCTTTTCTCTTTCCCTACCATTAATCAGACTCTTTAAAAAATGTATATGCTAAATAATTTTGATTTGATTTTAAGGAAATGTTACCAAACAGGAAAAATTTTGTGCAAGTCATGTATGCTTTCCATCCAGAATACCAAAATAGTGTATACTTGCATAATTTGACTGAAAATGTACAGAAAGCAGTAATCTTCTTAGTAATATGTTACTTAGGCAGAAGTTGCTACCTTGGTTGCAGAAAACGTTGCTTCAAGTTTTAGGGTGCAGAACTTCTTGTTTAAAAAAACATCATTTATTTTGTGATTTCACATGTAAATAAATAGTGAAACATTAATTTTATTGATCTGTGTCTCTGACCTTTTATTTCCTCAGCCATCATGTACGTAATGGGAGCACTTGGACCTGCAGCTGGATACTTATTAGGCGGACTTCTTATAGGTTTCTATGTTGATCCTAGGACAACTGTGTATATTGACCAGAGCGATCCCCGATTCATTGGAAACTGGTAAGGATCAAACATTTTTCAAAAGTTTTCTCTCAGTTGCCTGTAGGGAATGAAGACAGATTGGGAGCTTGAGGACTTGTTTAAGGTTGCAGAAGGAGGCTGAGGAAGATGATGTTTCTGTTGATTGCTACACACTAGCCTCTGACAGAGAGGACAAGTCTGCCACAGGAGTGCACAGGAACAGTGCATGGAAATTCCCCTATGTTTGGCTGTTCAGGGCTGTCCCTGACCACAGTGACTGGCACATGGGATGGCAAGGCAGGATATTGGTCTTGCAGGAAGGCATGGATGATCTCTGCTGCTCAGAACTGAACTCTGCTGCCCAGATGAGAAACACTTGACTTTGCTGATCTGATTCCTGGTGAAGGAGATAGGATGGGGTCAGAACATGCCCTTTCCAGTCTTTGTTTCTCAGGGTGATGGCTTGTGTTTAGCCAGCAGATACTGTAAACCATCACATTATTCTCTAGTAAGGAGTAGGCTTTCATCAGCGTTGAGATTTAGCAGCTGTAATTGTTAGCTGATGTCTTCAGGCAGCCTTTGAGATGTGGCCTCCTTGGGAATGTGTCTTTGAGAAATCAGGTCTTGAGGAGGCTTTCACTACCTTTTCTCAGATAAATCATAAATCTGCCTTGAAGTTTTCATGTAATCCCAGAAAAAACCCTGAAGTTCATTATCCCAGAAAGAGACCTCTGCTTTGTAGGTGTAAGGTGCAGTGTCAGTTCTCACGCCCTGGGTAAGTGCTTGTCACTGCGCCATTGCAGTCAGTCTGTATCTGTTTCTGTTTATTCTACAGTGATCTTTCCTGACAGTTTGATATGAAAAATTCTCTCTTTGGAGTTTTTTTAAACCTTTAAAGATTTAGTCCTGCTTTATTGGTCTTTCTGAGTCCAAGAGCATTGCTGCACCGTTTTGTTGAATTTTCAGCAAGAGAAAGGCAAAGCTGAGTGCTGAGTGTGACCTTGGGGTTAAAAACTCTCTGCTCCAATTTATTTACTGACTTATCTCACTGAAAGATCTGTGAGTGTGCAGCAATGTCAGAATTCAGACTATTCTAGTATAAAAGATTTGGAATAAAAGGAAAATATTATACATTCTTTGTAAAATTATTACACTTCATGTGTTTTTAATGACATGTCAGAGCTGGTAATCAGCATCTGATCAGTACTTTTTGACAGAAATTGCAAACAGACCCATAAATATATTTATTAATTGAAATCAGTGAGGCTGTATGAATATGGGGGCTGTATGAATGTGGAATAAACTTAATCTATAATACAACCACTGATATAACTGAGTTTTAGCTCAAGCAGCTTCAGCAAAAGTAAAATAATCAAAGCAAGAAAGTCAGTAAAAGTCATTCAAAGTTTTCTTTTTTTTTTATCTTGCTGATGTAATCTATAGGGTCTGGCTTTCCTTGAAGTGTATTCCGGGTCTTTTTATTTCTTTAATTTTGGATCATGTCAGTTCTTTTTCTCTTAAATTTCTGAGGAGTAGCAACTGCTATCAGGTCTCTGATTATTTGCTGGCCTCTCATAAAAGTTTATTGCCTTTCATAGCATTTGTGTCTCATTCTCTTTTCTCTTTCTGAAGCTATTTAAAAAAAGCAAGACTCCTTTGGTGTGAGGGTTAACCTTTGTTCCTTGATACTCA